TTGATATGTATGGACAATATTTAAAAAAAATAAACTTTTTTTAAAAGCAAATGTCATAAGAAAGAGAATAAGTATAAGATTAAAATCAAAAAGAGATACAAAATATAAAAACAAAAATTTTAGAAAGTGAAAACCTGATTTTAGAGCGTAGTTCTGAAACCAAATGATACAAGCCTTATGGATATATAGATTTAGAAACCCATAATGAAGTAGATAACGAACTTGAAAAAGTTACAAATCAAGTTTGTGAGAAGTAAATATTAACTTGGAGATAATCATGTCCCTAAGAACTAAAAGCATTAGAAATCAAACTTGGTCTTGTTGATTATAATGAATCAAGAATTTGAATTATATGAAGATGCCACAAGATTAGTTATACCTTGATAAGTCAAATTTATTTTTTTATACCAATAAAAAGAAAATTATTGCATCATACAAACAAACAAGTTTATTGAAAACATCATGGCTACTAAATTTTGTAGCAAAAAAGAGCAATATATAATCCTTTTAGATGGCCCCAATGGAACTATATTTAGTTACAAGCTAACATAAGCTTAATGCCTAAAACATTTATTTTGAGTCAAAACAAACCAAAATTAAAATACAAGCCCTAAATTGAATGTAAATATCCAAATAATAAAATAAAACCTTAAAATAATTAATATAAGCACAAAGAAATAATTCAACTTAAAAGTAATCTACCTTTAAATACTCCAGCTCTCATTTTCTTGTGTAGTTAGGATAAATAAGAAATCCTTGTAAGAAAAAAATTTTAGAACATTAAAACCCTATCATGCTTGTAAACTATGTTATTACCTATTATAGATCTTTGTAGAACTAGAAAACTTCAAAAAATAAGTTGTTGAATATCCTTGTATTATGAGAAAAAGAAGTTTCTTCATATAGGAAGTTCATAAGTCAAAAGACATTAGATAACAAAATTTATATTGCATTTTCTAACCTATATTGCAAGACCTTACCAAACTTCAATTGACTTGATCTTTTAATCCTATCTACAAAAATATGTTTAGAAACTCTTGAAAACTTTTTAGTTTAATCCAACGATTGTATTAAGAGTTATAAGCAAAATCATGAAACTAAATAGGAGGCATAATTATATTAAAATTTAATTTTTTTTGTTCAATCTTTTCTTAGACCATATCACAAAAATTTAACAGTAGCATTCATAGTGTTTTTATTTCTTTCGAAGTTTAATAGAGAGATTCGTCATGGTGAGAGTTGAGAAAAAAAGTAACAATCAACCCATAAATCTTGTTTTCAATCCTATAAAACTAGAATAAAACAAAAGGAGGCAAAAAAAAAAACAGAAATAACATCAACATGGTGACAATAGTAACAATGTTAAGATAATTGGAGATTTTGTGGTAATTTCCACAGATCCAGTTCATCTTCCTCCAAATTTCTACTATCACACCGTAAGTTTTCAACTTTAGAAAACCAGGTATGATGCAATTTCTTTCATGATTGACACGATCAAAGAGTTGATGTCTTATCCCAAGTGTAGAAGTGTCAAAGTAATAAACAACTCGGCAAGACCGGGATCGAACCACAGGAAAGTTAATTATATAAATTATAAATAATAATAATAA